GGTTAATTTATGGTATTCGGCGCCATACCAAAACTTTTAATTATATAATAATTGCTTTAGGCTGGCTAAATCTAAGGAACAGATGACTGCTACATGTTATTGTTCAGTTCCAAAAAAAATTAGTTAACGAAAAAACCAAACTACTTTCATTTGAAAATAAAAAGAAGATCGGAGTTCCACAACAATAATATATAATTCAGAAACAACCTAACAATCTCTAAACACAATGCCTACTTCTTTATTTAAATCGTGTCTCTCTTATACTATTGCTAAGTTCTGCAATATGGCTCCCCAAATGTTTAGTACCTAGTCACTTTCCCGTTTCAAAAAGATATTCCACATATTCAATGGAAATATCAACTGTGTTTAAAAATAAAAAAAAAACACATAAATTCTTTTCACAACACAGATCTACCAAAAACATTGAGGTGATTACAGCACCCCTTTTAATTTTCGGATAAGGATATCTCAATAAGTAATTTTATTAAAAATTTAAATTTTGTCAAAATGAATAAGGTAATATTATCTAGATAAGCATTTATTTTAATGTTTAAACCCCTTTCAGTTTCTGAGAAAAAATCAAATAACTTTAAATTTTGAAATATCATAATGAAAATAAATGAATTCCTCAATAGCACTATTGTTAATATGATCCCTAAATTTGAGCTCTTAATGTCTTGTTAATGATTATTTTAGATTCGCCAAAATTAGTGATTAAAACGCCTCTTCAAGTGCTGCCTTCTGGTGTAACGCACCTGTAACTATCGTATCGTACACTCTCAATGATCATTCGTTTCTTGCAACGAAAGTTTACACCTAAATATGACTTAGTAAAGATATTCTTGTTTTCTCCTATAGCAATTTATTTGTTACCTCCATGAATATTTGAATATCTACTCAAAAGGCATATATTAAAATCAATCAAATAAATTGGGTCACAATATCAGAGTATTTAAACAGCAATGTTTATTTTAACATGGCATTTGCGTGTTATAATATAACTCACATTTGAAAAGTATTAATATACTTACTGATTAAAATTGTGTATAAATCGTATATTTACGAAACAAAGTGTAAAAAATAAGGATAAATAAAAATTAAAAACTAAAGCATCATTAAACAAGTATAATTTCAAATAAAAAGAAGAAATAGGAACTATTAAAACCCAGCAGCCATTTCGAATTGTTAAGTGACTTTATTGAATATCGAATAATTTTATAGCAATATTTTTAATAAAACCACAAAAAGAATGAAACATTATTTTAATAATAGGTTTTTTATTAGTTTTAGTTAGTTTCAAACCCTTCGAATATGGAGAAAGTTCAGATTTAATCGATGTTACTGTACCCATTTGCGGAATCGCAATTTTAGTCCCGTGAGTGTATAAATTGCCATTCCTAACGCATATTACTAGACCCGCGACGTTGTCAGACTTATCAACAGGCTTGTGCTTGTTAAAAAGGTACGTCGTATTTTCAAATGCATTTCCTTGCAGCATTAAATTCCTTATCAATTGATCTATCTGACAATACCAACATTTTAGCCTGTTATACATATACAGGATGCCTTATCAGTGCGTAATTGATCAATGGCTGTTTTATTATAAGAGATACGAAAACATTTTTAATACGACCATATTTAACAATTATTCCTAAATATACAGGGAAGTCCATAAATGGCAAGCGAATAAAACTTATACTTATTTAAATCAAATACCCTACAAGTAGTTACGCATAACATATTTGGTTGTGTTTTTACATCGTTAAACCATTTTATTAAACTAAAAACGTTTTGTATTTTCTTTAATTTGATATGATAATAATAATATAATAATAATAATACTCTCCGTAATTCACCCCCTTACGAGTGAATTTCAACCCCTGAAGTCGACTGAACGACTTGTGTAGGGGAAGGGACGGCTATTATTATTATTTGCCGTGGCGCTCCGGGGCGACTTAAGGATGATTGATGGTGCCATTTGACTTACAGGTGAGGAAAACCCTGAAATCCTCACCCACCATCATCAATGTATCATAATGTATACAGGGTGCGTGTTATATTATCAACTTTTTCAAGTGCAATACTCTGTATGTTAAACCACTAATGTACAAATTAATTTCTTTTTAATTTTGTTTGGCATCCCCATACATATATCTTATATCGTATACGAGGTTTGTCAAAAATAAAAGTACTTAACTCTCGAGCAAAATCATATTTTTTAACAGATCCCGTATATAATATATGATGATGGTATTATGGCTTTTAGACCATGCAGAACATTATATAAGGAATAACTTTTCCCCATAAAACTATCAATAAAAAGTTTTCCCATATGGTGCCGATGTAATAATTGGCATTATTATTAGTAAAATATAAAGAATTTCACAAAAATTCTAAAAAATATTTTTTATGTTTTAACTTAATATTCAAAAAGAAAACACAAGTATTGAAATAAATCAAACAATTAGATTATTACTTTAGTCAATGGCTTACACTGAACTAGAGAATTATTCAAGGTACTACGTTGACAGTCTAAAAAATAAAACTGTCACGTACATTTTGGGTTTATATAGACTGTCGATAGTTGACAGGAGACTAGATTAAGGGAAACTCGAGTAATAGTCGGAGACTTGGCGGGCAAATTCTGCAAGAGTTATCTAAAGGCAAATTTTTCTACATACCATAGTATTGAGGGTGTACATAAGTCAGCACCCACTCGCAAAGTTAGATAGCGCTGCGTTCGGCGGCGGCACGCTTTGAACTATGTAGAACCAGCACATGCACAACAAGAGTTTTCTAATGGTTGAAAATTAGTAATTACCTTCATTTTAATAGGCAAATCTGAGAGGTAGTGGTCAGACCGTATAACTAAGTGACGCTACAAGTCAGCAAGGCGCCGAAATTGTAGAAATTTCTACATCGTCGCAAGAGTTTTCTAAAGGCTGAACATTTGTGGGCTACTTTATTTTCATGTATAAATGATGAAAAAACAAGTCAGACCTCGATTTCATGTGATAGAGCCTGTCAGTAGTCATCGGAAATGAGCGTATTGAGCGCACGCGGCTGCTGGTGTTATCTGGAGTTTTAATTTATTTTACTCCAAATTTTATCACTGTTCCAATATTAATTGAATACTAATTTATTTCTATCGATATTTAAATTATCAATATAGTCCATTTTTATCAGTGCAAGGATGCCTTATGGGTTAATGTTTGAATGCTTTCAGGTAATAACTTTTTCTAATTACGTTTTTGATAACTGTATTCATGAGAGCAATACAATTATTTATTATTATTATTGAGGTACGTCAATTTAACGATAGCCTTTCTTGGCAGTTTGTTTAATATTTCTCCAGCAATAAGGTCATGTCTAGGGGCATTCTGTGGACTGACGTTCTACTTAGTAAGCAAAATCGAAGGTAGGGTATTGAAAATTATTTTGTGTCTGTGCTGTTTTTTTAGGGTATAATTCAATGCTTGCTGTGGTATAAGCAAAAGGACAAGTTGTTTTTCTAAGGGAAACGTTTACTCATATTATGTGTAACGTGATCTCTTGTATAATGTGTTTGAGCTCAATTGATTGGGCGTGAGTTAGGTTATTAAATAACTCGAATAACTTTGAAAAAGAAGTTGGGCACCACTATATTTAAAGCTTACTATACTTGACTTCAGATTAGTGATAAAAATATAGAAAATCACTAACTACTAACAAATTATATTTGAACCATGCTTTAGATAAGGTAGTAGCAAATTCTAATTCACATAGTTTTACTAAATTTAAATTTTAGATGATTAATTCAATTGCACTTATCTTTAGTTAAAACAAGGTAACATAAGGAATGTTTTATTGCATGGTATATCTTCAGGCAACTTCTTCAAAGGGATTCAAGATCCTTATTCGTAATTCTGCAACTTAAATGATCTCGTGATATTTGGTATTCTAACTTAAATTTGAAACTGTCTAGATCTTCTAGAGATGAATTAAACCACGGTCTTCAGATTGTACCAAAACCAAAACAAACTTCTAGGTATAAAAACCATAAAATTCAAAAACGTCTTGAGAGAAATTCAAAACTTCTAGATATAAATCCAAATAAACCATCTAGATATAGCCATGCTAAAAAGAAATGGTTAAAATGTTAAGACAGAAAATAGGAAATTTGAACAGGATTTAGATAAAATGCTTCAACTATTAAATGATCAATTTAAAACTATTAAATGAATAATTGCACAGAGATTAAAATTAATATGAAAAGGAAAAATCTTATTTAATACATTTAAATATAGTAAAGCATAATATCATATTCCCAAAAAATAATATATAAAATATTCATGTGTTGATATTGAGGTTATGTTTGGAACTTGACAATTATTTAAGAAGTCCTTGTATAAAATATATATATTTAACAATATATTAGTATTAAAATCAGATGGATTTTACGATAGATAAAAATCAATTAGTACATCGGATGACCAAGATATTAAAATGAATGTGATCTAGTTGATATATTCAAATCATATGAAATACGAACTTTTGACACAAGGCATAAACGACAACTGACATTTAAGTAGAGGTGATTGTTTCAAAATAACGAATAACGGTTCCAACCGTTACATATGTGACACTAGTTTTGAGATTATTTTAATTTTATTTTACTTAATAATATATTACCTAACTTGCAAGGAATATTACTAATTTTCTACGCGGATATAATATTTACAGCAGACGGATTCTGTAAATTATATTAATAGAAAATGAGCATTCCTTGCGAGTTGACCACTATACATTTTTCTATAGCTACACCACGCTTGCTACCTATTAATTCATATCATTTATAAAATTAAAATGACAACTCTATTCCAGATAATTTCACATTTGATGACACACCTGATTTTATTTAAATAGTTAAGGAAAAATACTACTTTGTGTTGTCAGAATGTACCTCAAAGACAGTCGAACATTTTGTATTGCTCTAGAAAATCATGCGTTTTGTATTTCAGGTGCAGTGATGAGTGCAATCAGAGGAGTATCATCAATTGCAATTTTATCTCTAGAAACTAAGATAGTATCAGAAAATGACTTGGGGAAAGCACAGTCCTTGTTTGGAATTTGCGGAGCTCTTGCCCCTGCAGTGGCTATACCAATTTATAGTAAATTGATTTATGATAATACTTCGAAAACATTTCCTGCAGCTTTCTTATTTTTTGGGATCCCTCTGATAGCCATCGTCAGTACTATGATTATGTAAGTAACAGTTTCTTTAAATAGTTGATATTAATTAATTTAATGTAATTTATCATTGCCATTTACGTTAACGAGTAAATCGAGGATAAATGGCCATAGTTTTTTATTTTGTTTGTAATTGTAATTCATAATATTAGTGTCACTTTATTAATTTTCTGGAATTATAATCCTTACGTTTGTAGCTATTTACTTTTGTTTTTAAGGCTTGTTCTCACTAAGGGCCGCAAACCTAATGACGCCAGTACGGACCGCCTGATTTTATTTACCTGTATTATTTCCCATTACGTGCCACGATTAGGACATTGGGGCATGCGATATTTATTCTGTGAATTCTATTCGAAATATTTTGTAGTTTTGAAAAGAGCTGTTGTTTTTGATAAATCAATCTTAGCATTTTGGAAATCAATTGTATTAGACAACTGAGGCAGAGCAAGCACGTATTTATTTGAAATTGTTAGACAAGTGCGTTCATGTTTATATGAATTACTTTATTTAGGATATGTTGTTATTCATCTATTGCATTGTCCAATTACACATTTGCAATTCCTGCTAAGGTTTTTGTTCATTATTTTTAAAGAGTACTTAATTTTAATTTATGTAAATCAAAAAGAGACATGAGACATTACCTATTAAGCACCTTATATTTAATTAGTATTAGTAACAATGCTAAGGTCTTTAGTGCAGATTAATCAAAAATATGTTATTTAAGGTTTTTTCAAACAGCGATCTTGAAATCATACATAAATGACTTATTGTTGACTATCTGTCGACAACTACTAATTGACAACCTGTCGGAGATTGGGACTCAACTCGAAACTCGGTTATGTTTTAACACATTTTTATTAAATTCAACAGACGCACTATTACAAGAATAATTGATCAAATGTATATCGAAAGGTAAACATCTTGTTGATTCACTGGCCAAGAAGGCAGCCAGCTAAATACTTTGTGGTCCTGACTCCTCTATTGAACTGACAACATCAAACCTAATTAAAGAACACTTCCTTGTGAAATTCAAGGAAATATGGGAAACAAAAAATCTCACGTTCCATTGGCGTATGTTAGCACTTCAATATCCCCAGTACCAATACGTATTACTACTTTGTCGTCTGCAACTCTCACAAGTAATCCACTTTCTGTGGGATTTAAAAATTTAAACCATTCTTTCTTAAATGTCATATGGAACTAGCACCTGTATCTGCTAGCCAGATTTGCGCATCATTGTCTTCGATATTACTATTAAATAGAGAATGTCACAGGTAATAGCTTCAACTCTATGATCTTTATTTCTCTTTCCATCTGACCTATTTTTGCACTCTCGCAACCAATGGCCTACCAGCTTTTTTTACTTTTTAACCCTTCGGACCTCTCATTCTATACTTTAATCCATCTACAATCTGGCGACACTGCAGCCTGCGGCTTATTGCACCACCAATTGAAGGTAGTACCACTTTCACATTCACCAATTTACTTCCTCATTCACCGTCATTTATTCAACATGGTTTACCGCTAGCCGGATGACTTTCATGGTGACACAGGCTGTGTCTCAGTGGCCACTCATCTACGGCGTAACCGGAGAGGTCACAGTTTAACTGTTGCGAGTATGTGGATGCACACTAAGTTCGCGGTTAGCCTCGCCTGCTTGCAAATGCCTCATTTTGTCTTCGTCATAAGTTCTTGAATATTTGCTTACTTATTATTTTGTGTTTGTTGTCTCTTTCTAATTTTAACGATTGAACCACTTGGAGTGCTAAACTTTCTTCTTTGGTTTCATTTGTGGTCATCTTTTGTTCTTTTTTTAACAATCGTGATACCAGTCCATTATATATCTGTTTACTTACTGAAATCTACCAAATCCCAAGCTGTAATAAATGAACGTATCATATTTGGGAGCAAACTGTTAATTATTTTTAAAATAATGGCCACATCTGATACATTTTCTTCCATATCTTTAACTGTATATAACTGTAGTTTTTATTTCTGCTATAAAAGATGCAACTTTCAGTCCTTTATGCATTTTTATTTCATAAAACTTTTAATACACTATGTTTTTACTCATAAATAGTGATCAATTTAATCCACATTTCTGTAGACGTGCTACAATTAATAAGATAATGTAACTGATTTTCACATATAGATGATAAAAATATCACCATTGCCATTGTCCCATTGTCCCATTTCTTTAATTCAGCAGTATTTTCAGGCTTATCTTTTCCCTTTTCTGCTAACTACATCCATTAGATCTTAGGATTTTAGTGCAATCAGAACACTAAATTTCCTTACCTGGTAGTTATTACTAAAAAATTTAACGATTCTAACTGAATCTATTTGCTGAGACATGTTATTGGTCAATCAACTCAAAAAATATTACATTTTAATTTGCTTCTTGTGAGAGCAAATTAAATTTTCTTCCGGTTATCAGAAATAGTAATAGTATAATTTTGGGCCCATAACCTATAGAAATAATAGACGCCGTAGGGGGAGTGCTAAATCGTCTAAGTGCGATACGGACAATTCACTCGAGTTGTACAGTATGTAAATATGAACTGGGTTTGATGAATTCTATATTTTTGCAGTGTTATTACTAGGTAGAATGGATATGAAATATATTCCTTCAGTTGAACGAAATGAAATATTTTTTCTTTTGTAAAAATACTTATTGAATTAAGGGAAGTTGAAATTTCTTGAACCTTTTGCCTTAGAGATTTTTGAGCTTAAGGGGTTTAGGGAAGGTGGTACTCGCACTTAAATGTAAACTAAAAAGGATGATATCTCAAGCAATTTTTCCCCAGAATTAAAAAAAAATTGAAAAAATAATAAAATTGTTAAATCTTGTATTTTTGCGAACCTTCTTTAGGTAAAGTCGGGTGACTTTGACCCGCATGGGTGACTTTAGCTCAAATCAGTAAATAGTTATTTTTGTTTACAAAAAATTGTACGTCGTATTTTTAAAATAAAACTCACGCTGGTTAAACTGTAAGGTATTAAAACTACCCAAAATACTGTATTTAAAGACAACTGGACGCTTACGCTTTTTGTAGTATAAAAAATTTAACTCATTGCAAAATAATCGAAATTGAAAAGTGATAAAATTTGTATGCAACCAACAATACTATTGTTTGTAATATTTTTTGTTATTATCTTTACCGTAAGCAATAATGTGATGGGTGGCTTTAAACCAGCAAGTAATATTATAGAGAAAACAATGTAAAATGATGGGTGGCTTTGCACACCCCTCTTTTATTTTTTATTTGAAAAATTAGACCGTTTGAGATATTTTTGCTAAATAATTCTTAAAATATAACTAAAGACTAAATTATGGCGAAAATGCGAATTTGGATTTGCTTTTATTTAACAATTGAAACTAGGTTTAAATTTTGACAGTGAGTCAAAGTCACCCGACTTTACGGTATTGAGTTATTGTGAAAATTTTTTTTTGTGGAAATCTGAAAAATATTTTCAAAATTGAATCAGACCTTTTTCCAACCTAAATATTTTAAACCTTTCTTAGTGCCTAAATAAACTTAATTTTTAATGAAATACGTACCTATTACCTATAATTTTAATTCTTGCGGATAAACCATTGCCGAGATTTTTTCCAAAAAAAACGAGACAAGTACTTTATTTTCAGTTTTTATACCAATGGCTTAAGAAGTTTCAATGAGTTATCCTCTAAAAAATTTGTCGTTTTTCCATTATCTTATGCAACCGTTTTCTTTTGGTTCCTGTCCGTATTATAACAAGTGTTCGAGTTTTGAGGTTAAAAATTTATTTTTATTAATTTATTAACCTCTATTGTATTTTTTAATCAGAATTACGTGTTTCTAAATGGTATTTAACATATTTCAATTATTTTTTTTATTTTTGCATTTTTGTACTATTTAATTTTTATTTAGGCTTTTGGGCTTTATTATTTTACACCTATTTACGTTTTAATACTTGAAACGAATAATTCAAAAGGTTTTCTTTTGATTCCTGTCCTAGTTCAGTTCTTGACTAACAAACAGGCACCTTCAATCATAACTTGGTTGGTATTGCATCTACAGACATGAAAAGAAAACCAATCAATTCGTTTTATAAATAGCTACTATTTTATTTTTTTTTTTGTAAAACGTAAGGTAAAGTTTGTGAGTTATTCGTAAAAAATCACTGCAAAACATGCATTTTTTGAATGAAAAATCTATATTTTCAATCGCGAATACCTCGAAAAATATTTATCGAAAAACTTCATTGAGCATTTTTTAGAATATTTCAACCTATCTTATACTTGCTTTTTTTTTCGAGTTCGTTAATTTCCACTCCTGAGAACAACTTAAACTGTAGAATTACAATTTTAAATATAATTTAGTGGCAAAAGTTCTCTATTTTGAAAAATCCTTCATTTACTTATATATTTTACTGGGTGACATGATTTCGACTACCAATGTTATTCCTAAATTTCTGAACTATCCTACCCTACCTTGTTTTGGAATACTTTATTAATAATTAACTTTGATTTTTAGATCGATTTATCTAAGAGAGAAACGTAGAAACAGAGTAGAACCAAGTCAAGAAACAGAACTAGATACTAACGGCCAGCAAGTGGTACCCATGGAAAACTTTGTGAAAACTTCTAACATATAAAATAACAATAACCCATAATTTACAAAATATTAATGTAATACTAATAATTATAATCTAAGAATGTCAAAATTAGATTTGGTTATTAAATTTTTTACTAATTAGACTGATTTAATTATTATTTATCAAATCACTGACGTAACAATAAACATATTTTAAAGTATACATTGAGTATTTAAAGTTTTACCACTATTAACTTTTGCCACATAATAATATTGTTACGCAGCACCCTGCAGTAGCCTGCGGCTATTATAGAAAACGTACGAATGCAAAAAATAGAAGTGCAATGTTCATAAATGTCTGGAAATGTCTGGAAATGTCATTCCATGTCAATGAAAAGTCTAGACTATGAAGACTAGAGGTCTAGACAGTTCGAGAAGGTTAAAGCAAGCTATATCAGTTTATCAGTTTTATAATAGACCAATGACATAATCTATATGTCATTGTAATAGACGTTATACGTTAATGTCAGTTGGATAGTTTATTGTTAAAGTTGAATTGAGTTATTGTAAAGTTGAATTGAAATAAACTGTGATACCAAAAACCAGTGTAACAGTATTATATTGTTTATCAAGTTGTAAACACAAAATTGCGCACCAGAAGAAAAAGCCAATTTAAATATGTTCATGAAACATTTTTTCTAGGGTATCGGCATACTTGTTTCATTTTAATTTAAATTATAAAATATACGATATGCATGGAATTCTGTATTACTTATCAGCAGGAGTCTACAGAATTCCATGCACTTGTGCAAAAGTAAACATAGGACAAACAAAGAGAAGCATGGCTAACAGAACACAGAACTATGAAGACTAGAGAGAAGGAGGCGAATCAATAAATGGTCAAATTTCAAATTTCCGTCCTTCTTTTTATAAAGTTCGCGAAATTGACTGTAGTTGGCATGTCTAATGACAGCACAGTCAATTGTCTATGTAAATCAATATAAAATAAAGTGATTTTTTTAAAAAATTGATGAAAAGAATCAAAATAATGTGAAAAAAGTACCAGAGTACAAGTAACATGTATGACAAAAAACATCAAAGCAAGATTAACATCGGTTCAGATTGTAAAACCGGATAAAAATCAAATGTAAAACTAAAGGAAACACAAGAAGAAATCAATTCAATGTCTTTTTAAAGCTTTTATTGTAAGATAAATAATGTATTCATGTCTAAATATAATATTTATTGTAAACTAATCACAATGTGTATCTTAACTAAGTGTAGTTTATTTTATTATAAGTTTCTATAATACAAAATTTTACAGTTATAGATGCTGACTTACAAACAACAATAATTATGCATTAAATTTAACTTACTAGAAAAGAAAATTTATTTTTTATAGAGTTTTAATGTTAGATAAAGAGTTGCTACTGTTATTTTTTTTTTGACCCCAATTGTGGCATTGTAAATGTTTTTTATAGGATACTAAACGTTTAGAACAGTGACAGCATATATATCGTTCCTAGTGCCAATAAAGCACTTTCCAGAGATGATGCTGTTCTATACTTCTTAGAAGATATTGTCAAATATTATAAGACTATTTTTTCTGATGGTACTGTTAGCAAAATAAAAAGAGGAAAGCTGAAATTAAAGGATGAGATAATACCATGTATATTCTCAAATCTCCCTTTATACTTGTACTACAACAATAAAAAAATCTGTTAACTGTGTTTTATTTTACTCTTAAAACTATATATTGGTTCAATAAAAAAAAATTGCCACAAAATTGTAATTATCAAATTTCAGCAATTAAGAAACCTTTTCGAATTTGGTCATACATACCTAATTTTTATTTTATATAGATAAAATTAAATAATTTATCAATTAAAACTTGCAAGACTTATTTAGAAATAAATACAACAGTAAGTTCTGCGCTTTATTTAGCTGTAAACAAGTTTATTTTTATTATTTTGACAAAATTATGTATAACTTCCATAAGAAGCCATGTATTTTGAACAACGTATGCAGTACCAGCGCCCATGCGGTTAATTATAGAAGCTCAATTAACATGCGTTTTTTGGGACCGTATTTTGAGTATGCCAATTCGCCTCCTCTAGTCTTCATAAAAGTAACTGCTGTCACTAAATAACAATTAGGCATTCCAACGACCTGTCAAACAATAGGTGCCAGTGGGAAATTCTTGTATATTTAAGGGGGTAGCGACATAGTTTTGCAACTTGGACGCTATTTTTATTCGAAGTAGTATTCGCCAAGCCTGCCAATTTATGAAGAAATGTATAGGTGGGTTTTTTAAATATTATTTTTATTGTGTTTGACATAAAATATTTAAATGTAATCCATTATTCATGATTTTACGTAAAGTAGATAGAATACACCATATGTCGCTACCCTTAGATATACCAAACCTGCCCACTGGTAATTCATTTGTTTGGAATGCCTAATGTAGTGGTCAAAAGGGCTCTAGTCATCAACGGGGGGTACATTGTAAGTGTAAAGGCAGCGACTGTCACCAGTCACAGTCAGGGGATAAGGTCCTTAGAGCTTATCCACTCACACCGTGACAAAAAAAGTAAATAAGAAAAAAATATAATAATAGGTTTAAAAATAAAAGATTTTTCCCCCGTGATGAATAGTGCAAGCGGGTTAAGGAAATAGTTTGGCAAACTGATAATAGGTACCTATAGTCCTTACTCGGGGGTAGGTTCGCCGGGGCTTAGCAGAAGTGCCAGGAGTGTCTTTTGACAAAAGGGGAAGGTAGACCTGATGAGGAGGGAATATATATTCCACAGTTATGTATGTATTGGTTAAGAATTAAAAGGAATACCTAAATAATTCTTCAATTATCGAACTCTGGATTTCATTAGATAGCTTATCTGAACTAAGGGTTGCTCCTCTTTATGAAACTCGGGCTGAATTCAACAACTCGTAACACACATAAGATAAAAACAGGTGAACGTTTAACAACTCAATATATTTAGCTCAATATATTTAAACATGTAACAATTTTTAATTATAAAAAAACGATCAAATAATAGCCTTTGTTTAGAGGTACAAGATCCACCCTGAGGTTCTCACCTGATTCGGTAAATTAGCCGACGATAATAAAGTACCGATAACTACTATAAGAATAAATAGCAAAGCGGGTCAGAAATCTCGTTGGATCTCGTAGCTACCAAAGTCAAAAAATAAACTATATCACTTCCTATAAAATCTACGAAGAGAGGTAACTAAATAATTTGGCAAAATGAAAAGAGAACTGTCACAATTTTAATATAGTGATCAAAGAAGGCTTACCTTGCTCGAAACGTGGTTTCGATTTCACTAAGTTTAAAATCGGTTGGCTTATATTTATTATTTAATCACAACTTTATAAATTACTTTAAAATTCCCGAGATACGCTTTATCGGCGTCGTTGGGTAGTCGTACAGCGTAACGCCCGGCCCACTCAGTAACGGTCTCTTCCTCTCGTTCCCAAATCATTTAAATATTGGTTGAGACGTGCTTTCTTTGAAATTTTTGATCAACTTATATATTTAATTTACTTTAATATTATAATAACTGTTATTAATATTTCTAAGGTCAAATGAAGGAAAGTACTTGAAAATTTATATGAGATTTTTATATAAAATCTTTGGATTAATTAAAATAATTGCCAAATTATTACACAAGGGACCATGTTTCATGCAACTGCGTCACGTTCCTAAGGAGCGATTATAAATCCCCTACCTCTAGACCATCACGACTTTGACTGTCGAGATTCCTAGACGGCAGTTTGATGTGCTAATTCGGATCAAGCGCCGTTTCAGGTTTAAATTATTTCAGCCACTTATTTTTCAGATATACTAATTTTTCGAATTTCGATTTGCTATTTCTCTATATTTAATTACAATTTTCATTTATAGGTTCACGCTCTTATCGTACATTAAAAACTTACCTCACGAAGACGAAAATATGAACTTGGTATGCACCAATGCATTTCTCATATACACCAATGCTGTTTAGAAGTATTTGAAGATTTTAGAACGAACCTGAAACGGCACTTGTCTAGAATTAGCACATCAAACTGGCATTTAGGAATCTCGACAGTCAATATAGTGATAGTCTAGATTAAGGCATTTAACTACAGAACAAAGATGTCAGGGTTCGAATCCTAGCACCGACAGGCTTTTTTTTTAAATCTCGAGTATGTGTTTTCACCTTAGGGGTTCGAGGATCGCCTTATTAATTCGTAGAGGGATTTCAGAATTTTAAAATTATTTCAGCCGCTTATTTTTTAGATATACTGATTTTTCTAATTTTGATTTGTGATTTCCCGATATTTATTTACAATTTTCTTTCATAGTTTTACGTCTCGTATCGTACATTAAAAACTTTACTCACGCAGACGAAGATATGGGCTCAGTATGCGTCAATGCATTTCTTATATACACCGATGCTGTATAGAGGTATTTGAAGATTTGAGAACGAACCTGAAACGGCGCTTGGCCTGAATTAGCACATCAAACTGCCGCCTAGGAATATCTACAGTCAATGTCGTGATGGTCTAGAGGTAGGGCTTTTTTGTACAGAACAAAGATGTCTGGGTTCGAATCCTAGCACTGACAGGCTTCTTTTTAATAGCCAAGTATGTGTTTTCATCTTTAGGGTTCGGCGATGGTCTTAATAATTCGTTGGAGGGACTTTTGAGATTTGTTTCCGAATTTTTAAATTATTATTTTAAGATATGTTTTTGAAATTTTTGTTGAATGCCAAAGAAGCCACAACCCTAAAAGCTCTAGAATATTGGAATGGTTCAACCTTTCCGAGGTGGAACCATAATAATATATAGTCGCCCTTCGGTACTCGTACTCGTTACTCGTCAGCTGCAGGAATCAGAAGTACTGAGTATCTACTCTAAAATGTAAAGTACTCTAAATTTTTCAAATATAAGTACTATCAGGTTAAAAGTAATTACGAATACCAATTACTGAATGCTTTCAGTATTCGAGAACAATTTTGAGAACAATTTAGCCCAGCTCTGCTTTTAGTATATTATTAGATAATAAACTAAGGAA